GTGTGTGTGTGTGTGTGTGTGTGTGTGTGTGTGTTACTCGGCCACAGGCCCTGTGCTACACCCCATCTCCAGAACTACGTGCCGGACCCCCAGGGTCCCCCCTTCCCTCGGGATGGGCCCCACCACCTTCCACCTCCAAGACGGAGACCCTGCCCCACCTGGGGGGGCTCCTGGGGGCCTGGTGCCCGCACAGGGACTGTGGCCCCTCGGCCAGGGCTGGCAGGGACGCCGGGCAGGGACGCCGGGCAGGGACGCCGGGCCGGGCAGCGTCACGGCCGAGCAGGGTTTATTGGTCACTTGGCCGCAACCAGAGATGAAGGTCAAAGCAGCTGGTCGGGCCAGGGCAGAGCAACCCCCAGCCAGGCCGCAGTGGGTCCATCCCGGCTCGGGGCTCAGAGCAACCGGCCCCTTCCCAGCGCCCCTCGGGACCCCCTACCTGCCCTCAGCCCTGTGTCCCCGCGGGGTTCCCAGCTTCCATCGGCCGGGGCCCTCAACCCCTCCCCTGTTCCCAGCAGCCCAGCTGGGCCCCACCCCGCCTCAGGAGCGCGGAACCCTGAGCCCCCAGGGCAGCAACGCAAACTGCCAGGGGAAACTGAGGCACACAGAGGCCCCTGCAACTCATACAGAAAATGTCCATTTCGTCAGTGTGTGACAGTGTGTGTGTCGCTCTGTGTGTGTGTGTGACGCTGTGTGTGTGTGTGAGAGAGACACTCTGTGTGAGATGCGGTGTGTGTGACACTGTGTCTGTTGCTCTGTGTGCGTGTGTGTGATGCTGTGTGTGTGTGTGAGACACTGTGTGTGAGACACTCTGTGTGTGTGTCGCTCTGTATGTGTGTGTGACACTGTGTGTGTTGCTCTGTGTGTGTGTGTGATGCTCTGTGTGTGTGACACTGTTTGTGAGATGCTCTGTGTGTGTGTGACGCTGTGTGCATGTCTGTGTGTGTGTGTGTGAGTTGAGTGCCCACCACTGCCCTCTGCTGGTCGGGAGGGGGTATGTTGGGGGCCCTGTTTTGTATCCCCCCCCCATGCAGCACCCCACGCCAGGGGCCGGTATTCATGGGGCTACTCCACCAGCGACCCCCAGCTCTGGGGCCCGGCGGGCTGGCAGCGGTGGGAGGAATGATCTGGGACACTGCCCGGACACCGCCCCCCCCGGGGCCTGACCCCACCGCAAGGGAGATGTGGGGGGCAGGGCAGCACGCGGCAGCTTCACAGTGCCCCCCCCGCCCCCCCAGGACACATCTCACTCCCACGGGGGCACATCAGCCCCCCCCCCACATGGGCGGATCAGCCGCTGGGAGCAGATGGTCTGAAATCCTGAGGGGGGGCAGCGGCGGAGGGGGAGCAGGTGGGAGAGGGGGGAGGATGGCCAGGG